TGCTAAAAAATCGTTAAAAAAAAAATGTCACATAAAATATAATTGCATGAACATTTTAGAATACCTGTGTATTTATGTAACACAGCCACAGACCTTTGTAAAATATTTTAAATTGTGATTTTTCTATTATTATACGCGCGTCTTTAGACGGGACGTATAATGTTATGGTGTTGACATGTCCGTCTGTCTGTCCGTCTGTCTGTCTGTTAGCTTTTCTCGTGTCCGGCTCATAACTTTAATACTTTTAGGCCTAGGATTATCAAACTTTGTCAGCTAATACTTCTTGGGTAGAAGGTGTGTCGCGCACTAAAAGTAGGTCGCTCTGACTTTTAATTAAGATGCTATGGCCAAATATGGAAAAATCCTGTCCGGCTCATAACTAGAAAATTATTAGACTTAGAATCATCAAACTTGGCCAATTTATGCATCTTAGGTAGAAGGTGTGTCGCGACCTATTTCAAGGTCACTGTGACCTTTAAGTGAAATTTAAAAATAAAACTGTCTTTTTACTATTAGATTATACAGTCCAAAAAAATGCAAGAGTGTTGCAGTATCCGTATTAAAAATATGTTAAATCAAGAAAATACTTATTTTTCCATTAAATACTTTACAGCAATCTATAACAAATGTAATGTTACAAGAGAAATTCCACCTCTCCCATGGGTGTAATTATCAAGCACTGGTCAAGGAGAATTTGATAACAGAAAATTGCATGTCAAATTAGAGAGAAATTAATGTGTTGAGTGTGAGGAGCTAACTGGTAGAACATCTCTGATCAAGCAAGTGTTATCTATATCTCTTGGGAACTGGGTAAAAAGAATCAGCCCTGTTGGATTAAATAGTTTGCTAGGCTAACTTGAATTTGGTGAACAGTAATTAAAACTTCTTTGATATTGTATAATAAATTAATTTGATATTGTATGATAAACTAATTGATATTGTATAATATAATTAAAACTAATTATACTGGGGGGGGGGGGGGGGGGGGATTGGAATCAGCATGCCCATTGTCTGTATGAATTGCAGATTAAAACCAGTATGACATTAAATCTAAAAATAATCAAGTATTCAAAAAAATGTTTTAATTATGGTAGATAGTCCCTACAAATCTAAGAGTAATGCAGGAACCTTATTAAAAATATTGCATCAAGATTACACAAGTTTTTTTCTTTTTATAAATGTTTGTAACAAATAAAAAAAAATCTTTGTTTTCAAGTTTAATATCAAAATGACATAAATATGCATTTTTATTGCACTACAAAGCAGATAGTATGTATAGATCCATTCATCCATTGGGAGTAATGACTGTACATGCATCCAGTTAAAGATTAATTAATGAGTTCACTGTAGGAAGGCTAGCTGTCTCAATCATTTCTGTTAGAGGATCTCTGATTAAGCAGCTCTTATCTGTATCCTTTGGGAATTAGACAGAAGAACTGCTTGTCAGTTTATAGCCTATGTCATTTGATGGCCAGCCTTTTATTTTGGATATAATTTGATATAGATTAAGTTGTTAAGACTAAATTGATATTGTTTAATATGATATTTTTAATTAATTTTTTGTAAATATCAACAAATTCAGAGCATCATGTCTCACAAATCTGAAAGGTGGAAGGGGGGGGGGGGGCTGCAGATGGGCATTTGTCAAGCTTTAACACAAGTTGTTTTACACAACCAGTTGAAGATCTATAATGTTATATATGTTATAATTAATGCCTACACCACAGGAGATGTATAAACAAATATTACGAGGAATGCAAAAATCATTGAAATCCTTGTGTCAAGGTTGACATGATTTTCTTGCACTCTAAACTGTTTATGACAATTGAACAATATTTGACGGGCGTATCATGCTGTGGCGGGGCACTTCATTTTACATGGAATCACCTCCTTATGGAAACACACATATCCTTGTAATTTCTCTACTTTGACTACAGAATTTTGTATTAATATCGATGTGTAACAGCAATAAATCTTTTGTGACTAAACAGCTTAATTTAAACATAATATATATGTGCAGAAAATATTGTAAGAAACACAATTAATAGGCGTACTTAATGTGCATTTTCTCATGATAATGTGGAAACATTTATTTATTTAATGATTTATTTATTTATTTAATTATTTGTTCTGGAAGTGTTTAGAACCATTTTTAACATAGTATGCTAATGTTGGCACTCCAAAATCAATTTATTTATGAGATGTATTGATGTTTTTGCACCTAACAATAGAATAAAGAAGAATGCATACAATGCAAGGCAAAGATCAGAGACATTCCGAATAAATCGTTTATCTTGCATTCACCGATCATTCACTGTTCATTTTGCGCTCGAATTTTTGGTCCGTTTGCGTTCTGCGTTTGCTCACTGTTCACTGACCATTCACCAAATTGCGTTCAGCATTCACACATCGTTCAGCGTTTGTTCAGCGTTGATTCACCGTTCGCTCTGCGTTCATTCACCGTTCGCTCTGCGTTCGCTCACCGTTCAAGTGGGAAAGTAGAACATCTGAGGGACTGTACTGATGAGAGCTATTCAACTGCTTCAACATTTTCTGACCTTGACATTTCCTTTGACCTTGACCTCACTTTTCTTAAATTAGCGTCAAACTTCATATGCTGATACATACTGATATAAAGTATTCAACTGCATCAATATTTTTTGATCTTGACCTTTCCTTTGACCTTACTTTTTAGCTCACCTGAGCTGAAAGCTCAAGTGAGCTTTTCTGATCACATTTTGTCTGTAGTCCGTCTGTCTGTCTGTCTGTAGCTGTCCATCCGTCTGTAAACTTTTCACATTTTCGACTTCTTCTCCAGAACAACTGGGCCAATTTCAACCAAACTTGCCACAAAGCATCCTTGGGTGAAGGGGATTCAAGTTTGTTCACGCCCTCTTCCAAGGGGAGATAATTAAGAATTGGTGAAAATTTGGTGTCATCTTTTAAAAATCTTCTTCTAAAGAACCATTGAGCCAGAAAAGTTTATACTGATGTGAAACCTTCATTACATAGTGTAGATTCAAGTTTGTTCAAATCGTGACCCCCGGGGGTAGGGTGGGGCCACAATGGGGGATCAAAGTTATACATAGGAATATATAGGGAAAATCTTTAATAATCTTCTTCTCAAGAACAACAAAGCCACAATTAGTCATATTGATATGGAATCATCCTCAGGTAGTGTAGATTTAAGTTTGTTCAAATCATGATCCCCGGGAGAAGGGTGGGGCCACAATGGGGGATCAAAGTTTTGTATAGGAATATATAGAAAAAAAATCTTCTTCTCAAGAACATCAGAGTCACAATTAGTCATATTGATATGGAATCATCCTCAGGTAGAGTAGGTTCAAGTTTGTTCAAATCATGACCCCCGGGGGTAGGGTGGGGCCACAATGGGGATCAAAGTTTTACATAGGAATATTTAGGGAAAATCTTAAAAAATCTTCTTCTCAAGAACAACAGAGCCACAATTAGTCATATTGATATGGAATCATCCTCAGGTAGTGTAGATTCAAGTTTGTTCAAATCATGACCCCTGGGGGTAGGGTGGGGCCACAATGAGGGATCAAAGTTTTGTATAGGAATATATAGAAAAAAAAATCTTCTTCTCAAGAACAACAGAGTCACAATTAATCATATTGATATGGAATCATCCTCAAGTAGTGTAGATTCAAGTTTGTTCAAATCATGACCCCCGGGGGTAGGGTGGGGCCACAATGGGGGATCAAAGTTTTACATAGAAATATATAGGGAAAATCTTTAAAAATCTTCTTCTCAAGAACAACAAAGCCACAATTAGTCATATTGATATGGAATCATCTTCAAGTAGTGTAGCTTCAAATTTGTTCAAATCATGACCCCCGGGAGAAGGGTGGGGCCACAATGGGGGATCAAAGTTTTACAATAGAACATATACAGGAAATATCTTTAAAAATCTTCTTCAATCTCAAGAACAACAAAGCCATGATCAGTCATATTGATATGGAAGCATCCTCAGGTAGTGTACAATCAAGTTTGTTCAAATCATGACCCTCCCCCCCCCCCCCCCCCCCCCAGGGTAGGGTGTTAGACATATTTAAAATTCTGTTTTAAAGAACAGCAAAATCATGATTAGTTATATGAAGATAGAAGCATCCTCAGAAGGTTTATATTCAGTTTCATTCAAAACATGGCACCTTGGGGTAGGGTATGCCTAGAACAGGCGATCAAAGCTTTATATATGAATATATAGGAGAAATATAGGAGAAGAAATCTGCTGACGAAGAACAGCAGGGCCATATTGACTCAGGTGAGCGTTGTGGCCCATGGGCCTCTTGTCTCAATTTGTGTTTAACTCAGGTTTTAAAGAAAACATTATATTTTTTTTTATTAAACTTCATATGCTAATATATACTGATGTAACCTTTTCCACTGCATCAACATTTTTTTACCTTTCCTTTGACCTTAACTTCATTTATTTTAAATTAGTGTTTAGCTCAGTTTTAAATAAACCATTCAAAATATTTTTATCAAACTTAAATATGCTGATATGTATTTGTGAGAAGTATTCAACTGCATCAAAAACATTTGACCTTGAACTTTCCTTTGACCTTGACCTCACTTTTCTTAGGTTTGCATTTTAAAAGAAACCATTTAAGATATATTTATGTAAGTTTATGCACTTACACATAATTTGGTGAGAATTTATCATCTATATCCAACTTTTTAGATTTCAATTTCAATTTTAAAGAAACTATTCAAGATATTCTCATCAAATTTCATACACTAATACAAATTTACATGTTGCATTACTAATATACCCTCAGCGGGCATTCATGTCCTATGTACATATTTCTAGTTCTTTCTCCATATACAAACTCTCTAGTTCTTCCACCCTTGTCTTTTTTACTTAAACAGGGGACACCAATTCTCTGAATTAGCTTGTCATCCATTAAAGGCAAAAATAAAATCTGGTGCACTAGTATATGAAGAATTTGTTTATATAATAAGTTAAGGGGATTTTTTTTTCAGGTGTGCATGATGCAAGTTCTTGGATTGTGTGTAGTCTGTGAAATTCACATTTATTCTAGGGTAAGTATGTTTAATGTCAATTTTTTCTTCAATCTACTTTGTTGTTCGAGCATTAATCTTTATTAGGTCACCCGAGTCACTCAGGTGACCTATTGCTATCCATTCTCATCCGTCGGCGTGCGTCGTGCGTTAACATTTGGAACATTTTTAGCTTCTTCTCTGAAACCGCTTAACCAATTTCAACCAAATTTGGCATATAGCATCTATGGGTGAAGGGGAACAAAAATTGTGAATTTCATGGTCCCTGCCCCCCTGGGGCCTGAGGGGTGGGGCTAAAACCACCAAAATTCATGCAATCTTTAAAAATCTTCTTCTTTACTCCTGGACATCAAGCAGTCAAACTGTTGGCATGATTGTAATAAGCATTGAGCCCTCTACCAAAATTGTGAAATTCATGGCCCCAGGGTCAGGGGTTCTGGCCCCAGGGTGGGGCTATATAGATCATATAGTGAAAGTGCATTATTTCTTTGAAAATCTTCTTCTCTGCTCCTGGGTATTAAATAAGGTAACTAAGTACATAGTTATGAAGAGCAAGACTGCCTCTTCCAAAATTGTGAAATTCATGGCCCCAGGGTCAGGGGTTCTGGTGTTAGGGCGGGGCTCTATTGATTATATAGTGAAAATGCATTAATTCTTTGAAAATCTTCTTCTCTGCCCCTGGGTATTAAATAAAGTAACTAAGTTCATAGTTATGATGAACAAGAGTGCCTCTTCCAAAATTATGAAATTCATGGCCCCAGGGTCAGAGGTTCTGGCCCCAGGGTGGGGCTATATAGATCATATAGTGAAAGTGCATTATTTCTTTGAAAATCTTCTTCTCTGCTCCTAGGTATTAAATAAGGTAACTAAGTACATAGTTATGATGAGCAAGAGTGCCTTTTCCAAAATTGTGAAATTCATGGCCCCGGGGTTAGGGGTTCTGGTGTAAGGGCCGGGCTCTATTGATTATATAGGGAAAATGCATTAATTCTTTGAAAATCTTCTTCTCTGCTCCTGGGTATTAAATAAAGTAACTAAGTACCTAGTTATGATGAGCAAGAGTGCCTCTTCCAAAATTGTGAAATTCATGGCCCCAGGGTCAGTGGTTCTGGCCCCAGGGTGGGGCTATATAGATCATATAGTGAAAATGCATTAATTCTTTGAAAATCTTCTTCTCTGCTCCTGGGTATTAAATAAGGTAACTAAGTACATAGTTATGATGAGCAAGAGTGCCTCTTCCAAAATTGTGAAATTCATGGCCCCGGGGTTAGGGGTTCTGGTGTAAGGGCCTGGCTCTATTGATTATATAGGGAAAATTCATTAATTCTTTGAAAATCTTCTTCTCTGCTCCTGGGTATTAAATAAAGTAACTAAGTACATAGTTATGATGAGCAAGAGAGCCTCTTCCAAAATTGTGAATTTCATGGCCCCAGGGTCAGGGGTTCTGGTGTTACGACGGGGCTCTATCGACTATATAGTGAAAATGCATTAATTCTTTGAAAATCTTCTCCTCTGCTCCTGGGCATTAAGGTGATAAACTAAGTACCTAGTTATGATGAGGAGGTGGACCCCTTCCAGAATTGTGAAAGCCATGGTCCCTGGGTCAGGGGTTCTGGTGTTAGGGCGGGGCTCTATTGATTATATAGTGAAAATGCATTAATTCTTTGAAAATCTTCTCCTCTGCTCCTGGGCATTAAGTTGATAAACTAAGTACCTAGTTATGATGAGGAGGTGGACCCCTTCCAGAATTATGAAAGCCATGGCCCCTGGGTCAGGGGTTCTGGTGTTAGGGCGGGGCTCTATTGATTATATAGTGAAAATGCATTAATTCTTTGAAAATCTTCCTCTCTGCTCCTGGGTATTATTTAAACAAACTAAGTGCATGGTTATGATGCATAAGGATGCCTTTTCAAAAATCATGAATTTCATGGCCCCAGGGTCAGGGGTTCTGGTGTTAGGGTGGGGCTCTATTGATTATATAGTGAAAATGCATTGATTCTTTGAAAATCTTCTTCTCTGCTACTGGAGATTATTTAAACAAACTAAGTGCATGGTTATGGTGCATAAGGATGCCTTTTTAAAAATTGTGAATTTCATGGCCCCAGGGTCAGGGGTTCCGGTGTTAGGGCGGTGCTCTATTGATTTTATAGTGAAAATGCATTGATTCTATGAAAATCTTCTTCTTTGCTACTGGAGATTATTTAAACAAACTAAGTGCATGATTATGATAGGCAAGGATGCCTCTTCCAAAATTTTTAAATACATGGCCTCAGTTTTTGGGGTTCTTGAGGAGGGAGGGGGGCTCTATTGATTATATAATGAAAATGCATTAATTCTATTAATTAATCATTAACTAATCCTGTCTGCTCCTTAGTGTTGAGCTGATAAATAAATTGCTTAGCTATGATGAAGATGGGAGCTTCGAACAGAATTTTTAAATCTTGTGGTCCTAGGGTCAGGGGTTCTGGCATAACGAGGGGGGGGGGGGCCTTTTGATAATATAGTGGAAAAGTGTTAATTCTTTGAAGTCCATAGTTATGATGATGAGGGTAACTCTTCCAAATTTGTAAATTTCTTGACCCTTGGTCTTGGGTTCTGGTGTTAGGGTAAGGCTTTGTTGAATCTGTAGTGAAAATGCATTGTACCTGTGAAATTCTTCTCTTCTTCTGGGCATATCGAAAGCAAACTGAGTAAAAGTTTAAATGATATGAGTAAGCGTATTTCTACCAGATTTTTGAACATCTGGACAATTTGTCTAAGCATTCTGGTCCTGGACAGGGCTCTATTAATTTGTATTCTACTGAGAGAAGTTATTCCCCTTTTCCATTCACCTTTGATAATTAATCACTGTAAATAATGTATTTGAAAGGTTAATAGAATAAGATAATTATGCAAGAATGTTTATCGTATAATTCAAAAAGTACTTTCTTAGTTTTAATAATCAGGCAGACCTGTAAGTAATAGATAAATAAAAATGAGACAAAAATAACTTATGAAAAGTTCTTCAAAGACCAGAAGAGAGGTCAATGCTAGAGGTCTTAATATGGGTTTAAAAATAGTAAAGAAGCACTAATAGTTTGTTAATAGTCTGCATGGTGATAATGTTAAGTGGGGGACAGATTAGAACTTAAGTTATGAGTTGATACTGAATACTAGACTAATTATTTTGATTATCCTGATCTTCCTTACTTCTCTTGCTTTAGGGCAACAAAGCTTCATCTGTCAGTGTATTTAACTTCTAAATTGTTGTATTATACTCAGGTGACCGTTAAGGACCTTGGGCCTCTTGTTTTTTTTTTTGTCATTATCTGCTGAAAGTCTCATTACTTCATGAATTTAGTTAAAAGCTTTATTGTAATAAATGATGTAAATATTGCCTTGTGTGAGACCTAAAGTCATTAACAGGATCAGAACTTCCTTGCTGTCCCTGAGAACAGACAATAATGGAATTGAAAGCAGTTATTTGCCCTACTTTAATAAAGGTAAGGCTACTTGTTCCTGCCAAATGGCCATGGGTTGTAGTTGATAGGTACAGCTTAGGTCCTGCATATTCTATAGATTCGGCTTTGAGGTCATCATTTTCTGTTAAGTGGGTTTGATTAGAGGGTGGTGTTTTTGGTGAGGTTTGGGTTAGAGGGAGGTATTTTAAGTTAGTATTTTTTATTTGATTGGTTAAACTTTTCATTTGATTGGTTAAGCTTCTTGTCGTCATTTTGTGTTAGGAGAGGGTGGTGGGAAGTTGGTCTATTTAGCTTGCGGGATCATCATTTTCTGTTAGAAGGTTTGGGTTAGAGGGAGGTATTTTAAGTTAGTCTTTTCTATTTGATTGGTTAAAGTTCTTTTCATTTGATTGGTTAAGCTTCTTGACATCATTTTGTGTTAGGAGAGGGTGGTGGGAGGTTGGTCTGTTTAGCTTGTGGGGTCATCATTTTCTGTTAGAAGGTTTGGGTTAGAGGGAGGTATTTTAAGTTAGTCTTTTGTATTTGATTGGTTAAAGTTCTTTTCATTTGATTGGTTAAGCTTCTTGACGTCATTTTGTGTTAGGAGAGGGCGGTGGGAGGTTGGTCTATTTAGCTTGTGGGGTCATCATTTTCTGTTAGAAGGTTTGGGTTAGAGGGAGGTATTTTAAGTTAGTCTTTTCTATTTGATTGGTTAAAGTTCTTTTCATTTGATTGGTTAAGCTTCTTGACGTCATTTTGTGTTAGAAGAGGGCGGTGGGAGGTTGGTCTATTTAGCTTGTGGGGTCATCATTTTCTGTTAGAAGGTTTGGGTTAGAGGGAGGTATTTTAAGTTAGTCTTTTCTATTTGATTGGTTAAAGTTCTTTTCATTTGATTGGTTAAGCTTCTTGACATCATTTCGTGTTAGGAGAGGGCGGTGGGAGGTTGGTCTATTTAGCTTGTGGGGTCATCATTTTCTGTTAGAAGGTTTGGGTTAGAGGGAGGTATTTTAAGTTAGTCTTTTCTATTTGATTGGTTAAAGTTCTTTTCATTTGATTGGTTAAGCTTCTTGACGTCATTTTGTGTTAGGAGAGGGCGGTGGGAGGTTGGTCTATTTAGCTTGTGGGGTCATCATTTTCTGTTAGAAGGTTTGGGTTAGAGGGAGGTATTTTAAGTTAGTCTTTTGTATTTGATTGGTTAAAGTTCTTTTCATTTGATTGGTTAAGCTTCTTGACGTCATTTTGTGTTAGGAGAGGGCGGTGGGAGGTTGGTCTATTTAGCTTGTGGGGTCATCATTTTCTGTTAGAAGGTTTGGGTTAGAGGGAGGTATTTTAAGTTAGTCTTTTGTATTTGATTGGTTAAAGTTCTTTTCATTTGATTGGTTAAGCTTCTTGACGTCATTTTGTGTTAGGAGAGGGCGGTGGGAGGTTGGTCTATTTAGCTTGTGGGGTCATCATTTTCTGTTAGAAGGTTTGGGTTAGAGGGAGGTATTTTTAGTAAGTCTTTTCTATTTGATTGGTTAAAGTTCTTTTCATTTGATTGGTTAAGCTTCTTGACGTCATTTTGTGTTAGGAGAGGGCGGTGGGAGGTTGGTCTATTTAGCTTGTGGGGTCATCATTTTCTGTTAGAAGGTTTGGGTTAGAGGGAGGTATTTTAAGTTAATCTCCTTGTATTTGATTGGTTAAGCTCCTTGGGGATCAGGAACTTAGAGAATAGATCCTCAGCCCAATAAGGGCTTGTCGTAAGAGGCGACAGAAGGGTGTAGTTTAAGGGGTAGACTTAGGCTCTGAATTTTCTGAGAGGCTGGACTTTAAGTTGGTGTGTGCTTAAAAAGTACAACCTCCCAGAAAATTCTTCCCTTTAGGTGTTAGGAGGGTTTGGTTAGAAGAGGGTCTTTTTAGTTATTCTGTTTGTATTTGATTGGTTAAAGTTCTTTTCATTTGATTGGTTAAGCTTCTTGACGTCATTTTGTGTTAGGAGAGGGCGGTGGGAGGTTGGTCTATTTAGCTTGTGGGGTCATCATTTTCTGTTAGAAGGTTTGGGTTAGAGGGAGGTATTTTAAGTTAGTCTTTTGTATTTGATTGGTTAAAGTTCTTTTCATTTGATTGGTTAAGCTTCTTGACGTCATTTTGTGTTAGGAGAGGGCGGTGGGAGGTTGGTCTATTTAGCTTGTGGGGTCATCATTTTCTGTTAGAAGGTTTGGGTTAGAGGGAGGTATTTTAAGTTAGTCTTTTGTATTTGATTGGTTAAAGTTCTTTTCATTTGATTGGTTAAGCTTCTTGACGTCATTTTGTGTTAGGAGAGGGCGGTGGGAGGTTGGTCTATTTAGCTTGTGGGGTCATCATTTTCTGTTAGAAGGTTTGGGTTAGAGGGAGGTATTTTAAGTTAGTCTTTTGTATTTGATTGGTTAAAGTTCTTTTCATTTGATTGGTTAAGCTTCTTGACGTCATTTTGTGTTAGGAGAGGGCGGTGGGAGGTTGGTCTATTTAGCTTGTGGGGTCATCATTTTCTGTTAGAAGGTTTGGGTTAGAGGGAGGTATTTTAAGTTAATCTCCTTGTATTTGATTGGTTAAGCTCCTTGGGGATCAGGAACTTAGAGAATAGATCCTCAGCCCAATAGGGGCTTGTCGTAAGAGGCGACAGAAGGGTGTAGTTTAAGGGGTAGACTTAGGCTCTGAATTTTCTGAGGGGCTGGACTTTAAGTTGGTGTGTGCTTAAAAAGTACAACCTCCCAGAAAATTCTTCCCTTTAGGTGTTAGGAGGGTTTGGTTAGAAGAGGGTCTTTTTAGTTATTCTGTTTGTATTTGATTGGTTAAAGTTCTTTTCATTTGATTGGTTAAGCTTCTTGACGTCATTTTGTGTTAGGAGAGGGCGGTGGGAGGTTGGTCTATTTAGCTTGTGGGGTCATCATTTTCTGTTAGAAGGTTTGGGTTAGAGGGAGGTATTTTAAGTTAGTCTTTTGTATTTGATTGGTTAAAGTTCTTTTCATTTGATTGGTTAAGCTTCTTGACGTCATTTTGTGTTAGGAGAGGGCGGTGGGAGGTTGGTCTATTTAGCTTGTGGGGTCATCATTTTCTGTTAGAAGGTTTGGGTTAGAGGGAGGTATTTTAAGTTAGTCTTTTGTATTTGATTGGTTAAAGTTCTTTTCATTTGATTGGTTAAGCTTCTTGACGTCATTTTGTGTTAGGAGAGGGCGGTGGGAGGTTGGTCTATTTAGCTTGTGGGGTCATCATTTTCTGTTAGAAGGTTTGGGTTAGAGGGAGGTATTTTAAGTTAGTCTTTTGTATTTGATTGGTTAAAGTTCTGTTCATTTGATTGGTTAAGCTTCTTGACGTCATTTTGTGTTAGGAGAGGGCGGTGGGAGGTTGGTCTATTTAGCTTGTGGGGTCATCATTTTCTGTTAGAAGGTTTGGGTTAGAGGGAGGTATTTTAAGTTAGTCTTTTGTATTTGATTGGTTAAAGTTCTTTTCATTTGATTGGTTAAGCTTCTTGACGTCATTTTGTGTTAGGAGAGGGCGGTGGGAGGTTGGTCTATTTAGCTTGTGGGGTCATCATTTTCTGTTAGAAGGTTTGGGTTAGAGGGAGGTATTTTAAGTTAGTCTTTTGTATTTGATTGGTTAAAGTTCTTTTCATTTGATTGGTTAAGCTTCTTGACGTCATTTTGTGTTAGGAGAGGGCGGTGGGAGGTTGGTCTATTTAGCTTGTGGGGTCATCATTTTCTGTTAGAAGGTTTGGGTTAGAGGGAGGTATTTTAAGTTAGTCTTTTGTATTTGATTGGTTAAAGTTCTTTTCATTTGATTGGTTAAGCTTCTTGACGTCATTTTGTGTTAGGAGAGGGCGGTGGGAGGTTGGTCTATTTAGCTTGTGGGGTCATCATTTTCTGTTAGAAGGTTTGGGTTAGAGGGAGGTATTTTAAGTTAGTCTTTTGTATTTGATTGGTTAAAGTTCTTTTCATTTGATTGGTTAAGCTTCTTGACGTCATTTTGTGTTAGGAGAGGGCGGTGGGAGGTTGGTCTATTTAGCTTGTGGGGTCATCATTTTCTGTTAGAAGGTTTGGGTTAGAGGGAGGTATTTTAAGTTAGTCTTTTCTATTTGATTGGTTAAAGTTCTTTTCATTTGATTGATTAAGCTTCTTGACATCATTTTGTGTTAGGAGAGGGCGGTGGGAGGTTGGTCTATTTAGCTTGTGGGGTCATCATTTTCTGTTAGAAGGTTTGGGTTAGAGGGAGGTATTTTAAGTTAGTCTTTTGTATTTGATTGGTTAAAGTTCTTTTCATTTGATTGGTTAAGCTTCTTGACGTCATTTTGTGTTAGGAGAGGGCGGTGGGAGGTTGGTCTATTTAGCTTGTGGGGTCATCATTTTCTGTTAGAAGGTTTGGGTTAGAGGGAGGTATTTTAAGTTAGTCTTTTGTATTTGATTGGTTAAAGTTCTTTTCATTTGATTGGTTAAGCTTCTTGACGTCATTTTGTGTTAGGAGAGGGCGGTGGGAGGTTGGTCTATTTAGCTTGTGGGGTCATCATTTTCTGTTAGAAGGTTTGGGTTAGAGGGAGGTATTTTAAGTTAATCTCCTTGTATTTGATTGGTTAAGCTCCTTGGGGATCAGGAACTTAGAGAATAGATCCTCAGCCCAATAGGGGCTTGTCGTAAGAGGCGACAGAAGGGTGTAGTTTAAGGGGTAGACTTAGGCTCTGAATTTTCTGAGAGGCTGGACTTTAAGTTGGTGTGTGCTTAAAAAGTACAACCTCCCAGAAAATTCTTCCCTTTAGGTGTTAGGAGGGTTTGGTTAGAAGAGGGTCTTTTTAGTTATTCTGTTTGTATTTGATTGGTTAAAGTTCTTTTCATTTGATTGGTTAAGCTTCTTGACGTCATTTTGTGTTAGGAGAGGGCGGTGGGAGGTTGGTCTATTTAGCTTGTGGGGTCATCATTTTCTGTTAGAAGGTTTGGGTTAGAGGGAGGTATTTTAAGTTAGTCTTTTGTATTTGATTGGTTAAAGTTCTTTTCATTTGATTGGTTAAGCTTCTTGACATCATTTTGTGTTAGGAG